GAAATTTTCACCAAATATTTATATTAGAATTTCACATAAATGGTAACATTTTCATAATATTTTGACTCTTTTTGGGCTAGTTATAGGCTATATATAGGCCTTGAGAAATTTTTAGAAATTTATAAGTAAGTTTGTAGGTACGTAATTTTATAGTTTAACTCTAATAAGACGTATCAAAATTATACCAAGTACCTATGTCACTGAACTCCTAAACGGCTGGACCAATTGTGAATGCCCAGTCTATCGACCAATATTTCCTCCTCATCCACGAAGACGTGGCATTGTTTTATGTACGTAACTTATATGTGAGTATAATACGCTCAATATTTAAGGAACTGCGATCATCTAATATCAAAACACAGCTTACAAAAAAATTAAATGCATTGAATGAATACAATGATTTTAAGGCAATCAATAATTATTATTATAATAGCTTTAATTCTTTAAAACCCATGGCGACCATTTATAAACAAAAATTTCCATAAATCTCCGGGGATGATCTCTAAATCTCCGTTTGAGCAAATCCCCTGGTTGGACCTAGGGGGATGATTTGTGAATCTAAGTTATCCGGGAGGTCACCAAACGCATACAAAAAAATTAATTCAAATCGGTCCAACCGTTTAGGAAGAGTTCAGTGGTTCAGTCACAACACATGTACAGTAAAATTATATATATATATATATTTAAATATATGCATTTAGACATTTAGTGAAATATTAAAATGTATATATAATAAAGGTGGGCAAGTGGGTGTCGCTCTGCTGTACAGTAGGTTACAAGTGGGTCACTGTATAATGGTCCATTATTAATGGATGGTATTAAATTTGAATTCAATGATATAATATCATTGTATAAGAAAAACGATTCTGAGCGGTGACGGTATGTCAGTCTATAAGACATATTATATACATATCTATGGCATTAGAAAAAAATTGACCTATATAATAGGTACCTATAATAAATTCCAAATTAATCATATCACAATATCCATTAGAAACTTATAACGCGTTATACATCAACAAAAACCGTGATACTATCATAGATATATAATAGTACACTTTAGAAGTTTCAAGTACCCACGAATAATATTATTCAATCACAACAAAATAACTAAAATAGTTATTCTAGGTATGTAATTTCGTCCAAATTTGAATTTAAAATGTCTGTAAAAAATAAGTGTGTTCATATATTTTTTAGATTTTTTGGTTATAGTATGAACTATTTATGAGAACCTTTGTGTTGAATTTGTAATCCTTAGCTATAAAAACTGAACATTTTATAATTTATTAATTACAATGATTGATAATTTACGAGATTTTGATAAATTTTGTCAAAATTTGATCTTTAAATGCTTATAAAAAAAAACTGTGCCTATGTATTTTTAATATTTATCAACTGCTATTGTAACAATATATCAGGAGCCTTGTATTAAATTTTTACACTTTTTGGCCCAACAGATAAAACTTTATTGATATTTATAGAAAAAAAAACTAAAAAAAAATTGAAAGCTGTAAATGTCCATAAACAGCTCAAAAAGAATCAAAATATTTTCAAAATTGTATGGTGTATAGAAAATGCTAATTTAAACATTCAGTGAAATTTTCATGTATCTACAGTTGTTCGTTTTTGAATTGCAACAAAATAAGGAAATCGCTACATGAGTAATCGAGTGAAAATCCAATGTTGTAAAAATTTGAATTTCAAACGCTCATAAAAATTTAATTTGACTGTCCGGTAGAGATTTTTTTATTGATAAAGGTAGATAATCTTATAAGGAATCTTGTGTTTCATTTTCAAATCTTAGATTTAAAAAGAAAAATTTTTACGAATTCTTAACTCAAAATAATTTGCTAATTTTCGTGATTTTTCCATATTTTGTCAATATTTGAACTTTAAATGCTTATAAAAAAAAATTGTGACTAAGGATTTTTAATATTTTTCATCTGCCTTTGAAACAACATATTAGGAGCCTTCTATTAAAGTTTCAAGCTTTCGCAACCAACAAATAAAATTGTATTGATATTTTTAGAAAAAAAACTAAAAAAAAATGGAAAATGAAAATGTCCCTAAACAGTTCAAAATAAATCAAAATATTTTGAAAATGTTATCGTGTATAGAAAATGCAAATATAAACAACCAGTGAAAATTTCATGTATATACGTTCATTTGTTTTAGAGTTACACCAATAACCAAAATCGATTTTTTGGAAAACCAATTTTGCGTAAAAATTCCCGTTTTTCCTTAATTTTTATGTTGTTTTTCCCGGCGCTTGTGAAAACTACTGGGAAATTTATACTTTTGACCCCCAAAGTACCAACTAGATTCACTTTCCTATCAGAAAAGCTACTGATGAAGAAAATCCAAGCACTTTTACTGTCCTAAAACGTGATGACAGACACAAAAAAAAATAAAAAATATAAAAATTAAAAAATTAAAAAATATAAAAACACACATCATTGTAAAACCAATACATTCATCGCTCCGCTCAGAATCTAAAAGTTACTTACTACTTATCTGGCTACCTATATAATATTAACCTAACAAAATGTGAAAACACAATAAATTTAATTATGCAATGGTATCTAAACATGAGTGCATAACATTATGCTATCATTGGCCTTTACCAATCGCATACAAGCTAGAGCAAAATATTGGATATTACATTTCTCATATTGTAAGTTGTAACCAAATTGTTCAAATTAGGTAAACAAAACTCAATATAAAATGTACTAGTGGTATAAATCTAGTCAAAGGAGATATTATGAAAAATATCAATTTGTATACTTCATTCATCATTAATTATTATTAATAATACATTATTAAAAAGGTGGGTAAGTGGATGTCGCTCTGCTGTACAGTAGGTTACAAGTGGGTCACTGTATAATGGATGCTATTAAATTTGAATTCAATGATACAATATCATTGTATAAGAAAAACGATTCTGAGCGAAGACGGTATGTCAGTCTAGGTTTAAGACAAATTATATACATATCTATAGTATTAAAAAAAAATTGACCTATAATAAATTCCAAATTAAGCATATCACATTATCACAATATCCATTAGGTACTTATAACACGTTATACATCAACATCAATAACAAACCCTGATACTATCATAGATATATTTTATAGTACACTTTAGAAGTTTCAAGTAGTTACCCACGAATAATATTATATAATCACAACAAAATAACTAGGTTTTTTAATATGTAATTTCGTCCAAATTTGAACATAAAATTACTATAAAAATAAACTGTGATTGTATATTTTTTAGATTTTTTGGTAAGAGAATTATCTACTTACGTGGAATCTTGTTTTAAATTTTTAATCCTTAGCTATAAAAACTGAACATTTTATAATTTTATTAATTACGATGATTAATAATTTTCGAGATTTTGAAAAATTCTGTCAAAATTCGATGTTTAAATTCTTATAAAAAAAAATTGTGCCTATGTATTTTTAATATTTTTCAACTGATATTGTAACAATATATCAGGAGCCTTGTATTAAATTTTTACACTTTTTGTCCCAACAGATAAAACTTTATTGATATTTATAGAAAAAAAAACTAAAAAAAATTGAAAGCTGTAAATGTCCATAAACAGCTCAAAAAGAGTCAAAATATTTTCAAAATTGTATGGTGTATATGAAATGCTAATATAAACATTCAGTGAAATTTTCATGTATCTACAGTTATTTGTTTTTGAATTACAACAAAATAAGGAAATCGCTACATGGGAAATCGAGTGAACATCCAATGTTGTAAAAATTTGAATTTCAAACGCTCATAAAAATTTAATTTGAGTTTCTTATAGACATTTTTTTTTTTGATAAAGGTAGATAATCTTATAAGGAATCTTGTGTTTAATTTTCAAATCTTAGATTTAAAAAGAAAAATTTTTACGAATTCTTAACTCAAAATAATTTGCTAATTTTCGTGATTTTTCCATATTTTGTCAATTTTTGAACTTTAAATGCTTATAAAAAAAAATTGTGACTAAGGATTTTTAATATTTTGCATCTGCCTTTGAAACAACATATTAGGAGCCTTCTATTAAATTTTCAAGCTTTCGCAACCAACAAATAAAATTTTATTGCTATTTTTAGAAAAAAAACTAAAAAAAAATGGAAAATGAAAATGTCCCTAAACAGTTCAAAATAAATCAAAATATTTTGAAAATGTTATCGTGTATAGAAAATGCAAATATAAACAACCAGTGAAAATTTCATGTATATACGTTCATTTGTTTTAGAGTTACACCAAAAACCAAAATCGATTTTTTGGAAAACCAATTTTGCGTAAAAATTCCCGTTTTTCCTTAATTTTTATGTTGTTTTTCCCGGCGCTTGTGAAAACTATTGGGAAATTTATACTTTTGACCCCCCAAAGTACCAACTAGATTCACTTTCCTATCAGAAAAGCTACTGATGAAGAAAATCCAAGCACTTTTACTGTCCTAAAACGTGATGACAGACACAAAAATAAAAAAATAAATAAAAAAAAAAATAAAAAAATAAAAAAAAAAACACACATCATTGTAAAATCAATACATTCATCGTTTCACTCAGAATCTAAAAATAACTAAAATCTAATATAGATTAAACTTTCCTTTTTCAGTTCACTGATAAGTGTCCAAACTATAATTTAGCTTGGTGTGGTGTATACTGTAGATTCAGGGGTAGTAAATGTTAAGTAGTGTCCTCTTAATATATTTTAACAAGTGTGTATTTAGTTTTTTCTCAGCCCAGAGACAACACCAATCAGAGTGCATTGTAGGTTTAATACATACACTTAGCTCGCATAATAGACTATAATCAAAAAACAATTGATTATCACATATTTTACAGGTTTAAGTTTAAAGAAAAATACTATTTGTGTAACTTTAATAGTTAATAGACTATATAAATTCAAAACATTAATAATATTTTTTTTTTCATTTATTTACAAAGCCAAATGATTTTATGTAAAATACATTTTACAACTATAATATTATTATCTTAATGTACTTGTTCAATTTTATCGATTTCATCTCCACTTCTTATTAAACTTAACATTTGTTTTTTGGCCTCAAAACATAAAATACCTACAGCTGTAGCAGAATTTAAGCTTTCTATTCCATTTTCAAGTGGAATATTTAGGCGGATACCTTTTCGTAATCTAGCAAACTCGTAACCTTCATCACTCAATCCATGTGTTTCACCTCCAATAATGAGTATCAAAGGAGTGGTTTTACAGTAATCTATTTCATAGTAAGGAACTATTGGTAATTCAATTGGAGCTGTTTTTCTAAAAACATTTATATTTGTGTCTTCATCGATATTTGAATAATCAATATTGCCCACATAGTTGTTATCGGCCAAACAGACTTGACCTTTGATATTTTCCAAAAAGTTCCAGCTGACATCTGATATTATTTTCATTCTGAAATGTGCACCACAACCGGCTCTCAATACTTTATCTCCCCACAAATTAGTACAGCCTAATCAACAAGAATTATTGGTTTTGAAACATAATACAAAGTATAAAATGTAAGATTATTGGGATTGAGTACCAATTATTGTTGTCTCTGTCTTTCACATGATGTACAACTTAGTAAAAACTATCAGTTTTCTATCCATTAATACAATCAATGTAATGAAGCAAAAAATATTATATTAACAGATTTGAATTTAGCGTACACTTTTTGAACTTTACTCAATAATTAGGTACCAAAAATTTGATTTAAAAGTTTAAAATTGTAATTTATTATTTCAAAATTAACTAAAATTGAATTGAAAAAGTGACCTGATAACCTCATATACATTCACACTAAATCCAAGTCTGACATCTGTTTTATAATATTTATCAGTTCATTACATTTATCGTCTTAATCTACACAAAATGGGTAGTCTTCCTATGCTGCACTTAAGGACGGACAACAAACATCGGTACAAAATCAATTTGTCAAAATTCATTTTTTTTTTGATTATTTACCTTTCATTAAAATAACTTGTGATGCTCCAACAGCTGTTACAGTTCTTAGCACAGCACCTAAATTACCAGGTTCGCGGATATTATCACAGATTACTGTAATTGGAAATGCATTTTTCCGAGCTCTATGATCAATAGTTGGAATTTCAAAAATACCTTAATTTTAAAAATATAAATATTTAATTTAATAATTTAGGTAGGAAGTTGTAATGTTTTAGTTTTATTAAATGTTACATGTTAATTCTAGTTGTACCCATTATTCCTTGAGATGTCTCAGTATCCGAAAATAGTTGAATCATTTTATACGGTGCCTTATAAAATATTGTACTTGAGGCTGGTAGATCTCGTAGTTCTTCGGGTAAACATAAGTTTTCTAACACTCTCTTTTGGCTAAAGAATATTTGTTTTGGCTTTACACCGGCGTTTAATGCATCCTGTATCAGACGTTTGCCTTCCAAAAGTATGCTGCTATTTTGTTGACGTCTTTTTTTGTTTTTTATTTCCATCATGGCTTGACTGAAAAAAAAAACATTAATTTTAAAAGCTATTCAACCATACAACTAACTCATAACTACAAAAAAATTCTTCGTCATAAATGTAGAAATGACCTATCTTCTGCAGTAGTTCTGTTCAATTAATTTAGAGTAATTAGATTTTGTATTATTTAAGGTTTATGTGCAACCAAATATTAAATAATTATTATAATATAGAGTAGATAGTACTAACTTATTCGATAGGTACTAACCTCAGTAAGGGACTAGTTTCTTTAAGTATGAGATATGAAAGAAATCCACTGTTATCTTTTTCAACCACTGACAGTATTCCGCCTCGCATATGAGGCTTAATACTGTTCAACGGGTCTTCATTTGACCGTTTCTTGTCTAACCTTGGATGGTCTGAATCCTTCACATCCGACGCATATGCTCGTATGGCAGCGACATTACACACTGCTCGTCGGAAATTAACCGTAAAACTACTACTGATCGCTTTCATTTTCGACCAATTCCGTTGAAGGGTTCAAATAATAAATTTCTAGATACGTTTTGTTATTTAATAATTTAAGGGTTTGGTAGGGCAGTAGCAGATGCCTACCATTAAATTATGTAGGTACGTTTCGAATGAAATACAAATTAGCAATAGCAGCGGTCTACGGCAGTGACTAGCGAGATCAGTAAAAAATAAATGTAAAATGTGTAATGCTTAAATGCTTTATTTCAGAATTGAAACGTCTTGGAAGTTGCCAAGTTGGAGGTCCGTCCCGGTTCCAGGTATTAATGCATTGTACATAATATTTTAAAAATTTAAAATATATTATAACCTGTAAAAACGTGTGGATCTGAGAATGATATTGTTCTGTGATATAACTTGGTCATATCATGGATCTGAGGAAGAATACCGACTACCGAGGTGATAAGTGATAACAGTTATCGTTTATCAGCTCTTTAAAATAATTGCACGACTCTCGAACAGCTGCAGCTGCAGCTGATGCCACTGCTACACAGCTGTTTCGATGTTTACACGATTGAACATGTGGCGCATACGACGTATCACGACCATAGTGAATGTTTTGGTAAACGGGGTAGTGACTAGTGAGTAACTACTGATAACTTCTTAACTTTCTACAACCTTAATGCCTAATGGATATCAGTCGACGTCGTACCATTTCTCCGTCCTCGTCCATGTTCTACTAAATATCTACTCTTGAAAAATGTATAATATTAACAATCGTGATTCTTTTCGATAAAGCAATAATGGTTTTATAAATTTCATCGACCCTTTTTGGTCTGAATATTTCATTTAAACGGTCTCCAATTTACCATCCATAATATTCAATATGATTTTTCAGAATTTTTACATAAACGTTTATGGTATTCGCATTTCATTCTAGCAAGACTTTTGGCCATAATTTCACCGCCATTCTCTCGTTCCGATAATGGATTTTCACACTTTACTCTACCAGGCGCAAAAAAACAACACAAGAGACAAAGATGTAAGTAATTCAAAAACTAATAGTTAGGGTTATAAAAATATATTAATTACTAGTTACAATTGCCTACTTATACATACAAATTTTTAGACAACCTGTTGACTATTGTTAAAATTAAAAATGTATAATTTTGTACATCCGTGTAGATTTATAACTGCCTCCCAGGATATATATTCCTATACAACGACTAACTACCATATTGAACAGGATCTACATCCATAAATATGTATTGGGGGCTCAACTCGGGTTTCTCATCCTTCCGCCAAACACAAACTAGTAGCTACCATATGCTTATTATATTCATAGTTAAATATGGTGTAGTGTGTGGCACCAAGCCCAACCTATACTATTTTTTCATCTTTTCTAGCTTCAAAATTTACAAACTATTAAAACCGAGATTAAAACACATTTATTTTCCTAATTATTTCTACTGATTTTGCTGTTAAATGCTCCACTTTAGAACAAATTTAGAATATGTTTAAACCAATAAAATAAAAACACAAATAATTTATTACATTGCACATATTACAATTAGTTGTCACTAAGAATATAATATTTAATGGTATTTTCAATTGAAAGAGTAGCTAGCTAAATCATTATAACTTATAAGAATTCTAGAAGAGACACCAATTTACTTGACAAACATACCTCATTAGTCATTATACTAAGATTTTATTCTGTTCAGGTTAAATATTTCAAAGCATCATTGGATCCACCAAAAAAAGAAACAAAAGAAAGTAGACAATTGTCTGACAGTATTAAGAAGTTTTTAGCAAAAAAAGATGAAGAAGATAGACTCAAACAAATAGAAGAACAGAAGAAAAAAGATGAATTGATATCGTTGCGTAGTCAAGATAGGAAATCTTTCAAAAGGGTCCAGTCTATGTTAAACCGAACTAAATCAGCAAATAAATCAGTTATTGAGGATGCCAAAGATGATGTCAATACATCTGTTACCATGGCTGGTTAGTACATATATTTTTTACTTTATAATTACAGATGTAAATTAATATTATTTCTATAGTGCTCAAATTAAAAAAAAAATATTTAGCACTTATATTTTATGATACTGTTAGTGATAATCACGGTAGATTATAGTAGATTGTAATCTACCGCGGTGATAATTAAAATAATAATAACAAAAACAAACAGTTATTGTTTGCCAATTGCCATTTATTATATACTCAAATTCCCTGTCCCTCCACACTTAAATCTTGGGAATTGTAATTTATCTGATTAATGTTTCTCACAATAGGGTTGTTAATTTAAGTTTTTTTTTTTGTTATGAGTAAAGTTGTTATCTTTAAAAGTAGGTATTAAATAAAAATAAATACCTATTAAATTTGTTACAAACTTACTAACTAAACAATTATATCAAATAAAATATTATACTCTACTCAGAATAGGGTACCTATATCAGGTGATGAAATAAAACATGTCGAGACTGAGCAGTATATGGGTATACGTCCCCACTGCTGACTACTGGCAGCTAGTACTTAGTAGTGGGGTTCTGGCAACATTCAAAGTTCAGGTTTTGGTGTGCTCTTATTCTGAAAGGGTATAGAATAATACGTAATTGTAATATCAATAATTGTGAAAAAGACTAATTATAATAATAATTATTATTATTATTACTGTCATTAAATCTTTACCAACATAATTAATGTTGTATAGTGCATACAATATTGATCTTAATTATATTTTTATATTCTTTGTATAGTATATTAATGTGGTTAAGCTCATATTGAACATAATAATATTATATTATATAATTTGTGGTTCAGTACATCAGTACAATTTGTATGCTTTGTGGTAAGGCGATAACATTTAAGTTCATATTATTGATATTATATTATCAAATGATCGATATGTATTTTGTGTCTGTCCTTGGGTCATAATATTATTATTTTTCTTTATTTAACAAATTAAAATATTTACTTGATTAAAAATCAAGAAAGTAAAAATTATCATAAAATGAAAAAACATTGAGTTTAAATTGATGATTTAAATTATTTATAATAAATATTAGATACCTTTGAAGAATGTTGGTATTAAACACTATTAGATTTTTTAAATTAAGTAGGTACCTACCTATTTTACGTATTCAAATGTTTAATAATTGATTAATTATAGGATTTAATCAACCTGATGAGGATGACTATGGATATGTTTCTAAAGATGCCATGGCCATATATAATAATATTATGAACAAATATGTAAATACTCCAGCAGATTCAAGAAATGTAAAAACTCCCAATCACAGAAGTCATGACATTTCTGGTACTAAAGTAAGTAATTTGGCTTGAGATAAAAATAAAATAAAACTTATTGACAATATAGATTTAAACAATAAACAACACAATGTATTATTATTGAATGTATTGATTGGTCCAACACGTTGACTGTGAAAGTCTTTTTGCAGTCTTTACCCAGTGCATATGATAAAAGTAAATACAAAATGTCGTTGCTGATTTTTCCTCATGACGCCAAATGGCGTCAGTAAACATTCAACGTGCTAACACTGTTTTATTAAATGTATATTATTTATTTTAATTGTATTCAGCTTTACATTTTTAAAATATGTCACAACTATTTTCATAGTTTCATTATTTTTTCATTTTTACCCAACATATACATACATAAATATCAACATTTGAATAATATAATAAAATTAAAATTAAAATGAATATTATATTTAAATATTAGTAGAAATGAATATCGAATACATTACCTAGGATTTTTCAGTATATTAACTATTAAAAAAACTATTTACATTAATTTCTTATTAATTTAAAGTTGTTAAGAATTTATATAACTATAAAAAAAGTAACAACAATGATAAAAGCTAATGTTAGGTACATTAATGAATTTATAGTTCATTTTGATTTTTTAAGGGGATTGGAAGCGGCGATTTTCTGTCTTTATCTAACACACGTGGAACATAGGATTATAGACGTGTTCTATGTCCAACGTACCGATTAATCTAATGAAGCGATAAGAATTCTGAAAACAGATTTGAATTTGTCGTCAAGTCTACTTGAGATCGACTTTCCCACATTTTTGATTTTTTGATTTAAACTTCTCCAAAAGTTGAAATTTGTAAATTTTTTAAGTACTTTTTATAATATATCATTTTTATGATTTTGGTGGGACAATATCAAAAATGTGGGAAAGTCGATCTCAAGTAGACTTGACGACAAATTCAAATCTGTTTTCAGAATTCTTATCGCTTCATTAGATTAATCGGTACGTTGGACATAGAACACGTCTATAATCCTATGTTCCACGTGTGTTAGATAAAGACAGAAAATCGCCGCTTCCAATCCCCTTAATAGCTAATATTTATTTTATTTGAATAATGGCTTACGAATGAGAAAAAAAGTTAACTTTGTTTTTTCAACGAGATGGAAAACATAATAACAAGTGTTACACTGACATACTATAAAATAAGTAAAATAGTTTTTATATGATAATTTCATACTTGTTTATTTTTAATTTATCATTTGTACTATAAGTATGTAATGACTGTAAGTAATAAATATAAAAATAAAATTTATGGTTGACCATATAGAAGAATATAATGATACATAAATATGACGTATAAATTACAAAATTTAACAATAACTCACCATTATAAATCTGAAATTATAATCAGTTTTATAATCAAAAATTTGAAATAATTATAAATATATAACTACTTGTAATTTAAAATTATATTTGTATCATATTGAAAACAATTTTAACGGGTTCAATTTCTTTATTATAGATCTTTGGTAATAAATCATGATTATTTAATGATTTTTAGGATCGTGTTAGAGCAGCCTTACTAAAAGAAGAAGAAGATCAATTATTGCCACATAAGCGAAAAAGAAAACCTAAAGATATAGACAATGCTGAAGATTATCAGGAAAGTGTCGAGCCAGAGCAAAAAAAATCCAGACCTGATACAGAGAAAATTAAAAAACGGCCGGCACAACCTCCGCCATTGAATTTCCATGAACTACTTAAGATTGCTGAAAAAAAACAATATGAACCTATAATTATTGAAAAACCTAAGAAAGAAGAACCTTTACCTATGATGACCAAGAAAGAAAGACATAAATATTTAGAAGACAAGAGAATTGAAGAAATACGCCTAGCTCGGCGACAAGGCAAGGGCTTACCTATTACTGAAAAACCCAAAGAAATTAAGCCAGTTGAAAGAATTCAAAAAGCATGTGCATCTTCTTCAAAAGTAGATATACACGCAGAAGAAAAACTGAAAAAGAATGCTTCTGTATGGTCTAAAGATTTAAAAATTAGTAAAGAGCTGAATAATAATAGTAAAAATGATAAATATATACCAAGGCCATTGAATAGTTCAGAAAGTATACGAATGAACTCGAATGGGAATAGAACCACCTCTAAAAGTTCATTAGAACAACATTTGTTGAATGAAAAGATTTATAGTTCTAATGATGAACGGTATTCACCGAAACCAAAATCAGTCAAAGATCAATATATACCCAAACCTAAAAATTCTATTGAAAATAATTATTCACCAAAACCTAGAGGTATGCCAAATAATGATAGATATGTATCTCAATCTAGAAGTTCATCATCTGACAAATATTCACCAAAACCCAAGAGTTCAATGCCATCTGATAAAAAATTTTCAAAACCAATCCCCACCGAAAGATATGTGCCTAAATCAAGAAGTTCACCATCTGAAAAGTATTCTTCAAAACCCAAGGGTTTAGTGCCTTCAAATAAATATGTTTCAAAACCTACACCCACTGAAAGATATGTGCCTAAATCGAGATGTTCACCATCTGACAAATATTCTCCAAAACCAACACCCACTGAAAGATATGTACCTAAATCGAGAAGTCCACCATCTGACAAATATTCTCCAAAACCAATACCCACTGAAAGATATGTGCCTAGACCAAAATTCTCAGCCGATGAGAAATATTCACCGAAAATTAAAACTTCTGCACAACCAGAAAGATATGTGCCCAAGGGAAAAGGCTCATCTTCCTCAGAACAATATACACCTAGTGCAGTCAATCATTCAAATGAAAAATATAGACCTAGACCAACGTCATCTCAAAGCATGGAATCAAAACCTACCAGTTCAAACAATAAATATGTCCCAATGCCAGTTGATAAATCTAAAAAGTTACCAATCAGCAATAATATTAAACCTAGACAACTACCGCCTAAGGAAATGGCATCCAAACAATTTCCTCCCAGAGACATGATACCTAAGCAGTTCCCACCTAGAGACATGGTGCCTAAGCAGTTCCCACCTAGAGACATGGTGCCTAAGCAGTTCCCACCCAGAGATATGATCCCTAAACAATTTCCACCTCCTGATATGAGAAGGCGAGATGATCGGCATATGCCAATTCGCAACAAACGTCAAGTCATTGAATCAGATTCAGAGTATGATTCTGAATTAGATGACTTTATTGATGATGGGCCTGAAGATGAAGCTGATTATTCCAAAGTTATTTCAGAAATTTTCAGATATGACAAATCAAAGTAAAATTATTTTATAGCTTTTGTAGCTTTTTGTAGCTTTTTAAACAACATTATTATTTTCATTTTTAGATATAGAGGAATGGATGAAGATGATGAATGTATGGAATCTGATTATCGTACTCTTCAAAAAGAAGAGTATAAAAGTACTAGAGCTGGTAAGACATACTTGACATATTAATTTTAATCTATACATAGTACGTGTTATCGAACCTTTACAAAAATAACCATATTATATTCTTACTTAGTTGATGGTCATAGAAATTTAAAAGTCCCAATCATACAAATTGCAATTTGTTTACAATTCATAAATAACTTATAATCTTGTTATTAGCTGTATAGATTATATAATTTATTCATTTTAACTTTGCTTATAATCTGTGTTTTTTTTAAAGGAATTTTGGAAGATTTAGCAGATATCCGGAGAGAGAAACAAATGATGAAGAAACGAAAAAAACTTTAATGTTGAAACCAATTATAGTTTGTTGTGTATATTTTCGTTACCTTAATTTTTATAAGCTTGTTTCTTAAGGTTTGCTAACCTTCTCAAACAAATATTTTTAGTGTAACTAAGTATAATATGTATTTTGTACAATGTATATAGGTTACACGTTACTCATTCAAGTCACTTTGGTTAAGCCCAACAGACTTAAAACCATTTACTTACTAGCCATATTTGGTAAATTGCTTTTTATTGTTAATATTTGTATTACAAACTTCATTCGCTTTTTATAAATTTTGCATAAATTTATTATCACCTTATATTGTTGGTCCAAAATGCTCATGATTTTTGATTGTGTATAATTATTTTTTTTTTGGACCTCATATTTATTAACTCTAAATGTTATTGTGTTATTTATCTTTTTATGATCGTCATTATTTTTTCCAATATTTGAGTAAAATATAATTAAATTATTATTTGAGATAATGAATATTTTTGTAATAAACTAATAAAAGAATAAATATTAACAAATTATTTTATACTATATTATGATTATTGATTAGTTTCTGGATATTTTGCATGAATTAATTAAATAAAATTGGTTTTCAATTGTCATTTCTCTGAAAACAAAATAATACGATCATTCAATTTTTATTGAGTAACTAAAAGATTTCAAATTTAAATCATCTTAGTTAATGGTACAGTTGAAAGTAACATTTTTTTGTCCTATTAAATTATGTTTAAAAGACATTGGAAATGTCCATAATATTATGTCAAATGTCAACCAATAAGTTTTTAATAATTGTTGTTACCACTGAGTGTTGGTAAATAATAAATATGATAGTAATGTTTTAGATAAATATAATATAACAAGATATCATATGTTGGGTTACATACTTAAAATATGTATTTTTATTGTATAAATTATTTAAAAATGAATAGTTCTAAATTTAATTTTAATTTCTTCCAGATTTTTGTATGTATGTGGTAATATTAGAGTTGAGTGTTTTTTTTTTGTTATACATAATTCTTTGTTTTAGTTAGTTTGAATAATATTATATTTTTGTAAAATCAAAGGCAGTCATTTATTAATATGGGGGCATGGGGCTATCATTATCCAAAGTTGAGTGTACCCGGTACCCTGATAACTATTTATTCCTTGTCTACAGATATACATAAATTCTATTTGGGGGCTATGCTCCCGTGATGGATGACTTATGCTTATAATGTGTAATGACCGAATTTTTTTTGTCAATTTATTTGTGTACATTGAATATTATAAATAATTGTTACAAACATGTTAATTTTAAATTTTTTCAAGTTAATAATTAATATTGTAAATACAACTATCCATGTGTTATTTTTATTAAATTGTATAGAGGTAACATACATTGTTTGATTTTGTTTTTAAATAAAAATTTATTAAGTACCTATATGTGTAAATTCCATCTAAGTTGTGTGTGTTTTTGAGTACTCAAATATTTTGGTTATTACTTTTTGGCTAACGGTGTGATAAGAATTGGAATAGGTATAAAAAAAAAATGAATAAAACATGCCAAAGAACCTTGCTATTACCTACCAAAACATGTATTGGCATTTGGTAAATTATAAGTTTTAACAATGAATATTATACTATTCGTAGATGAAATAATCTATAACGTAGAATAATCAATAGTTATTAAACTATTTTAACCGTGTGTTAAAGTATTTCTTGATTTTTTTATGTAGGAACCTGATCACCTGGACCCTACACAGGGCTTGAAACCGAAAATATTTTTTCCTAAGTCGGTTTCGGTTATCGGTATTTATTTTTTCTGATTTCGTTTTTCGTTTTGAATACCGATTGTTATTTTTCCGATTTCAATTTCGGTTTTGATTACTGGTAATGATTATCGGTTTCAAGTCCTGCATAATTGTTACATAATATGTAATAATTAGGTATATAATATACCTATTATTTTAACGACCAGGGCTTGAAACCGAAAATATTTTTTCCTATTTCGATTTCGATTTAAGTTATCGGTATTTATTTTTTCCTATATAGATTTCGGTATAATTTTTTCCGATTTTGATTTCGGTATTTATTTTTTTCTAATTTCGTTTTTGTTTATGACGGTTTCAACCTGTGTACAAAATCGTTAGGTAGGTAGGTATCCATTATCGGTTTAAAGGCCCCGATACTAGTGTCATATTATTTGACCTTGCTTTGGGTCATAGGTGCAGAGGCGCTTGTTTAACGGGGGGGTATAGAAGGCACTTGCCCCCGACAGGGTAGAATTCACATACCTAGATGATTATAGATTCTTCATAAGATTTTTTCGTTTTATAGTAATAAATTAATTTTTCCATCAGTGACTTAAAATATTATAAAATGTTAAAATGTTTAAGTATTTTACGAAACGTACTTACCTATATATTTTTAATAATAATAAAACTTATACCTATAAAATACAAGTACAGTAGGTACAGTCGAGGCTCGATGGACGAGGATATCTCATAAGTTTTGTAATTTGTAAGAAATATTACTTAGGTAATACAATATTGTAATAATAATAAGTATCAACTATTCACTATTAACTTTAAAAAGTTCTCCTAATTAATATCATAACTACTAAATTTGCATATTTTTTTGTTTTTGTTGCCTATTATTGAGATGTTCAAGGTTATATTATAGACTAGGTATAGTGCATATTTATGCAATTTTAAGTGCTATAAAATCCCAACCCTCACTATTATAATTTATATTATACTGCAGTTACTTAGTATCTACTCACTGTATTGTAGTCAGTGGACAGTTTGTTAACACCCACCACAAATCATACTTCAATCATCAGCATTTAGTAATTGTTGATAATTAACAAGTGTATTTTTTTTTAATTTTAAACATTTTCGAAAAGGGTGAAATTAGGTGGAACAGATTACAGAACTCAGAAGTACAGAATATTATACTTAAACAAAAAACAAAAGCCAAACACATACAATTGGAAGAGTTTCCAAAGTATCCTTACCATAAACTATTATATTAGTCAAGAAAAAAAATGTTAATTTAATTACAAATTACTAGTATTACAAGATGTAATATTTTAAAGTTGTTATTAAAATATCCATAATTTTATATTCTGTACTCTATAGATCAGACATTCTTCTACTTAGCACTTTATATACTTGGCTATTTTTCAAAATTATCATTTTGTTTAGGTACCTACTAAGCACATCAAAATCGTATTTTTAATGCCAACTCAGAACTTTATAAACCTACTTTTAGAAATTAATTTTAAAAATCATTTATATATAGTATAATTATTGCATTAAATAATTTAAAACAATATTATATTAAAATGATACTGTTAAAGTTAGATGTAACCAATAGCAATTAATCATAATAATAATGTAAGCTGTAACCAATAGTCCAGTCAATGAATGACCCAAAATGAGGTGTAGAGTGCGTGAGCAGGTAACTTAGCGATTCCTTCAGAAACTTGTTCGGGGGGCTTAGGGTATTAACATACTAAAAGTCCTGACACCTAGGTGGTGAGCCGGAGGGGGGGAGGGGGGTTAAAGTTGCGCTTTTTGGGTTTTTCGCTTATATCTCGTAAACGGTGCATCGGAGGAAAATTTTTTTAAATAACAAAATAAATCTCATGAAATTATCTAAAACTTTTATAACATATGTTTTTTTCGAATTCACAACCGTTTTAGAGCTACACCTTCGAAAAAAGTAGAATATTACAAAAAAAACCATTTTACCTCACTATATTCATAAAACAATCCATCATATTATCTACCATATTCGTTTTTTTCGTTTTTTACTCTGCCACCCCTTTCCTTGGATGACCCTCCCTCAAAAAACATCAAGATTAGGGCATTTGTGTTTATTAAAAAATTAATATATGCATAAATTGAGTTTTTAATTTTTTTTCAATTTATTCTTGCAATAAAAATGTTATACAACATATTATATTACATATTCTACTTATTACTTATATACATTTAAACTACATCACCATTTGTTCATAAAATCATAATTTCCATCCAACTTCTAAAAATATTAATAGCGATTATAAACTTAATGATAGACTATAATATTGTTGGCTAGTAATAAATATAGATATAAATATATAATAGTAAATATTTGGAAATGTTCGAGTGTTCAACTTGTCATTCCGTTACCCGTATGTCTATATAATATTACTAGCTGATCCCCGTGTACTTCGTCTCCCGATAAATGTATCAACTCAATATGACTCAAACTTTGTTCAATTTGTTATTCAATATTCGGTGTATGGTGTTCAAAATTGATCTTATCTTTTCCGTTGCCCTTAATAAAAATTCTGAATCGCAGCAGTACATTATCAGGTAGGCAATCTACCTGCGGTAGATCGCGGACCCCGTGCTGTTTATACGGAAGTGTATGATTTAACTCTAAAGTATCAAAGTTATACCAAGTTTATTTTGATATAATACGGTGGATTAATATAACAAATTTGGTTGCTCGTAAAAAATCGCAACTCTTAAAAAAATTATGATTGTTGAACTCTTTTTGGGTGTAACTTGCTGCGGTAAGTGCAACTCAGCCACCTTGGTAGGCAATGTTCAATATTTCGATTTGATGCAAGCTTGTACCTGATCTGCCCGAATAACCAATGGCAACCAATAAATAAATGCTAATTTCTAATGTAGACTGTAACCAATGGCAACTATTAATAAATAAAAATAAAATTTCCAATTTCCATCTTGAATCTCAATGTCCCTGTTTGATCACCTATTTAAAATGCGAATTTTCGCAAATCCTTTCTTATTGCACGGTGAAAATATGAGAAGAACCTCTATTCCAAATTTCAAGTCCGTACGTTGAGTAGTTTTTGAGATACAGCGATCAGTGAGTCAGTGGTATTTGGATTTTATATGTATAGATAACTAATTATTGACTAACATTATCGGACTTTATTTATACCTAAAACCTGCTCCGTGATATGATATTGTATGATTGGAAAAAGTGGCTGCCGGAAAGCAATGCTGACTTGTTCTGCAGCGTGCCTCCACTGCCAAGGTAAATGCATAAACAGCGTGCCTGTTGAAGATGAGGACGATGAAGAGCAAGAGGCACCCATTACTACAGACAAAGATGCAATGGATGAACAACCTGGGCCCTCAAATTCAAAGAAAATGAAAATATGATTGCATGTAAAATTAAGAATTACTTGAGAACTACTTATCTGTAAAATTAAGTGTGTATTATCATTATTTTTGTCTGTTTAACTTCTTAAAAGTGTGGCCACATATATTATTACATAAACGAACAAAGGTTGTGGGTCAAGAATATGATATATACATTTTCTGAAAATTGCAAAATGTTATGAAAGTTGTAAAATAGCTATAAATTTAGGCAGCTTGGAGATTAACAATTAATATATGTGTATATATTCTGAAATTGAATTTAAATATCTACAACTTCTTTTCTATGCATATTTTTAGTTTATGAATAGGTTTAGACAATATGATGGATTGTTTTTGAATATAAGGAGGTAAATGGTTTTTTTTGTAATATTCTACTTTTTTTGAAGGTGTAGCTCAAAAACGGTTGTGAATTCGAAAAAAACATATGATATAAAAGTTTTAGATAATTTCATGAGCTTTATTTTGTTATTTAAAAAAATTTTCCTCCGATGCACCGTTTACGAGATATAAGCAAAAAACCCAAAAAGCGCAACTTTAACCCCCCTCCCCCCCTCCGGCTCACCACCTAGGTGTCAGGACTTTTAGTATGTTAATACCCTAAGCCCCCCGAACAAGTTTCTGAAGGAATCGCTAAGTTACCTGCTCACGCACTCTACACCTCATTCCTTGACTGGACTACAATAGAAACAAAAATATAAAATAATTATAAACAAATTTTATATACATTTTATTAAATTCTAGTTTTAATATTATAAAAATATTTATAAACAAACATTTCAAACTTAAATCTCAAAATTCTTTCTTAAAATATGCGACCTGGCACGTATCTTTTTAGATAATTGATTAAATACTCAATCAAGTGTTCCGATTTCCTATAAGATTTATATTTTGTAGACGGGATAATTCAAAGAAAACAATAGGTATAAGAAATTGAAGAGAGACTGTGTGAAGTGACAAAATATTGTGGAGCTACAAAACAAGTGGTTTACACAGGGACCAAAAAAATACAAAAAGTAAATTTAATACAACTATTATTTATTCCATACAAATAAAATATATTTAAACAATCTCCATCTATAAGGATATATTTCTGTCGACTGAATTATCAGTACTGTATGACTTAACTAATATTATAGTATGTACCGATTTTTGGGATTCCAAGTCATTTATAGAGGAGATGAAAAAAGTTCAAATTCAGATTACAGCTGCCACAGAACAATTATCGTATACACAGTACACATTGTGTGTGAGTTGTTTTTTCTGTTATCCATTCGTATCAAATAATATCTAAAATGCACTACCATTTTCCAAGCCTAAAATTGGGGGAGAGGGGTATATAAGTATTAATGTAATAAAATGTTTATTTTAAGAAATAATTAAATAATTATATTTTTAGAAAATGGATGTATTAAATTATAATAATATCATAAACCAAATTAGTAAATTAGGACTACAGATATAAATAATAATTATATAATAATTTATAGGTACTAAATAAATATAGTATATAATATATAATAATAATTATATAAATCTATGATTAAAACAGCAATCTATGAATAACGCGAAGAGTGCAAGATAAGACATATTAAACATTTAAACAAAAAATTATACGAGTAACTTGTTTTAAATTAAATAAATATAAGCAAATTGAAGTATAAAAAATACTTAGGTAGTCCCTATACTATAATATTTTAATGATCAAATAGGTAGATATATTTGACTGCATCTCGTTACATAATTATTATAAATGTTAAATATCTATAACGACAAAATAAGATTATTAGTAGAATTAAATATAATATAATTGATCTATTCTGTGATTAAACATTAGTCAACACTCAGCATTTATATTAGTTAACTTTGCAGTAAGTTTAAACATATAATGATTTATTTATACTTGTGAAATAAAATATATTGGACATTTAAAATAACGTTTGAAGGTTCTTCATAAGTCCTAAGTAATTAATACTGTAGCCAAAAAATTTAAAAATATATTGAAACATTTTTTTCTCAAAGACATATAAATTCAAATTTGGTCAAAATTAGTTATTTAAACAAAGATTAATGATGGTAATTAATAATTATTTTGTTATACCTAATTCTGCAAACAAAATTATAGATTTTACTTCATTTTACTATACTTAATAATTTTACCCTCATTAACAGAGTATATATTACGCAATGATATTTTGAAAATATTCATATTAATTTTAAACTATTACTTTTTTTATACTACGAACCTTGGGGGTGTGGGGGGATGTATTTCATCAGAACCGTATTTCAGTTGAAAAGAGTAAAGTCATATCATCGTTCAACAACAGAGTCAGATATCTTCTAGATGAGGGGTGGAGAATCTTTTTTGGGTCAAGTGTCAAATTTTTCAAATCAAGGTTTTGAAAATTGTTCACGTGCCCAAAGGAAATTATATTTTCTATAAGCATAAAAATAAAGGCTTAGTGGTATAAATAGTTGATGATTTGCATATTATGTCAATATTAATAATTAGGGCCCGGAAGTTCATGCACAAAAAACTATCAAAATATGCATGCAAATATGCGCTTAAAATCTATAAAATATGCGCTAAATATGCATTTAAAAAAAAAAAAAAACTCAAGTAATTTTCGTTTTTGGTAAAAAAAAATAATTAAAATATGGGAAAAAAACAAGCAAATTGTATTTATTAATAAATATGGTATATTATGTTATATTTACTTTAGGAATTACAATTTACAACCAGTGACTTTGACAGGTTTTCAAATACAAATGAACGGCGATTATCAGCCAACATATTTTTGTAAAGAGAAAAGCTCCGTTCTACATCAACAGAAGAAATTGGAGCATACTTGAAATGTATGAAATCTGAAATTTGAAGATCCTCTGGAAGGCCATCTGTGGTTGTTTCTTCTCCTGACATGACTTTTGAAATTGTTGACAGTATCTTAAACCCCTCATTTTTCTCAATAACTTGTTCCAATTTATTGTAAATTATAACGCCTTTTGGAACTTTAATTTCTTTTAATTTTTTTATGACATTATCTACAATTTGAATTTCTTCAACTAAGGGTGTTCCTCGAGTTTCTAAACTGTTAATGGCTGATATTAAGAAACCATAATTTGTGTGAATAAAAATTAAATTTGATTGAACATTTTTATCACATATTATTTGTTTTACTTTTTCAATTGCCAAGGCGTCATCAGCATCAAGCATATTAACAACTTTTTTTATAGTTTTAAAATGCTCACAATAATACATAGCCGCTTTCAACCAGGTACCCCAGCGCGTTATAATTGGTGAAGGTGGCAATGGCGTATCAGCAGCTTCTCGTCGAAATAATTCGATGCGAGCTGGTGCTTTCAAAAATACTTTTTTCATGTTGGATATAAGTTCATCGACTTTAGGGAATTCTGCTCGAATTTTCTCACATACTCGGTGAAGACCGTGGGCCAGACAGGTTACATGTATCATTTTGGAGTAAAAGGCCTGTATGGATTTACCAGCTTTCACCATATACGGTGCTGCATCGCTAACAAACAAAATAACGTCGTCATGTTGTATTCCTTTCGGCCATAATGAAAAAAGTGCTTTGTCGAAAAGCTTGCTAATTGTTGTATGGTTTGCTTTATCCAGAACTTCAGAGGCAAGTAAAAAATGTTTACCAGGTTCATCTACTAGTAACGTACCAATTATGACATTCGCAACATATCGCCCTTCTGAATCTGTCGTCTCATCAATCGACACCCAAATCTTTTTATTTTTCACCTCATTTCTTATCTCGTCCATCGTTTCTTGGTAGCAATCTTCGACGTAGGTTTTTCTTAGCGTAGATACGGAAGGAATGTCCTTATCCACATATTTTTCTAGAAACGATCGAAAATGTGTGTTGCTTAGTTTTTCCAATGGAATATTTGATTTTAACAATGCTTTGCATAAATCTTTGTTAAAATCAGATTTTCGTGATGATGGTGTCGTAATAAGCGGTTGCGTTAAACTATTTTTTTTAGCTTTGCGATTAACAGCTCGAGCATGTTTCTCAGTTTTTATATGCTGAGTTACGCAAAAACGTTTGTCACTGTTCACCTTTATTTCGCACATTTTACAAAATAAAACACCTCCATCGGATGCAAATATATTTTCACCAAACTCGGCCACATAACTACAAATTCGATTCGTTCCGACTTTTGGCATTTTAAAATTAATGGAAACCGATGTAAAACAAAAACAACACTACAGGACGATCGCACACGACTAAACCTTGTGCTTGGACTCTCACTATACATTCTTGTATCGTGCTATTACGATAATCGCGACAGTCATCAAACCATTTTATTAATACTTGATATTCGAGAATATAACAATTGCCGTTTATCGTTTTAATACTATTTAGCTAGAAGTATAACTGGCTTATCGGCGATAAGCTATCGCCTATCATGAATTATCGCATGGACTTCCGGGCCCTACTAATTTCATAATATTAAATTATTTAAGTATTACCTGTAGAATTTTAAACAGGTTTTTATACTTAAAGACCGAAATTTCTATAAAATATTAATGAAAAAAAAAAATATCAAAGGTAAAATGCAATAAAATGCAGAAAAATTCAATTTTTTTTTAAAATATGCATATTATGTAAAAAACCTCAAAATATGCGAAAATATGCAAACTAAAATTTCATTTTTGAACTCATCAGGTTGTGATTCAAATTTTTAGCTCATCCAGCAACTTTTTGATGCACTCATTAAAAACATGCAAATGCATGAACTTCCGGGCCCTATTAATAATATACCTACTAGATGATTTTGAATCAAAAAAGGTCGTCTCTAAATGTAATAGATTTACATTGCATTTCTTATTCATTTAAGTGTCGTATTAATATTATCTATATAGTTTTTATTTTATTTTATATTTCATATAATCATATTAAAACCTAAGTCGAATATTTGAAATTTGTGTTGATAAACTCTTACAAAAAAAAGGGAGGGGGCAGTTGTTCAAAATCCAGCAATACGTTCGTTGTGTTACGTACCTATATGGCTATTGTATATATTATCATTATTATGTAAAATATGGTATATGTACGTCACGTGCTCCGGCATCCGGGTTCTGCCAACAGCGAAGCCGGGTGGTTATCGGCGCACAGCTCTCGGCAACCGGGTGTGGTACAATCGGCCGACAGACATTTGGTCGACAGACATTTGGCTGACACGCAATAGGCCGACATACTAAATGGCCGACAAATTTATAGGCCGACACGCATTAGGCCGACATATTAAATGGCCGATTAAGTAATTTTATGTTGAGATAGGTAAATTATGCACACACACAGATATATATATATATAGGTGATACTTATTCTTAAAAATAAAATTTAGTGTATTGTTAATAATTATAAGTACATTTTATATTCCTAATATGTTTTAAAAATTAAAAAATTTGATATTTATACATAAAAAATAAAAAATACTAATAAATTATAATTGATAATTATGTTATATAATTATAAGTACATTTTATATTCCTAATATGTTTTAAAAATTAAAAAATTTGATATTTATACATAAAAAATAAAAAATACTAATAAATTATAATTGATAATTATGTTATATAGTTAAATGTTAATAAATAAAAATTAATAGTGCAAATTGTATGCAATACCTCTTATTGTCTCGAGGGTTGTTCTGTTTTCTTTATCATTTAGAATAGTTTGAATTTGGTTTTGACGTTTTACGTACTTTGAACTTTGTTTTGGCCTTGCTTGTCTGGATAAAATAATTTGAATTTGCCCTGGAATCAAAATGTATGTATAAATAAATTATATTTTATTGTAATATTAGTAGAATATTTTTATTCGTGAACTTATCTTACCCACAACGTGTTGTTGCTCTTTTCTCATTTCCTCAATTATACGATACACCCCAACGTGATCAGCTCCTACTAATACTTTCCATCTTTTGTGCCATGCTTCGACTTTGTTTTGTGTCCTTGGAATATTGTTTTCATGATTGAAATGTATTGACCAAAATGATGGTGGAAACAATGGCTCATATCGAAATACTATTCCATTTCTAAATTTCCTTCGTACTTTTCCATGCACGTAATTTTCTTCAAAGTAATTTTGAATGTCATAGGGTAATGAATCTTTCAATTGATCAAAAGCATTAGGTATATCTGATGGGTGTAAAAATGCAAGTGACCACATACATCGAAGTTGTAAACTAAATTCTTCATTTTCTCCATATTTAGTAGCCAATCCACTAGACTGGATTTTTCGCCAAATATTTTGGCCTAAATGAAAAAAACACCCTTTTTGTTGGCATTCTGGAAATACTTTAAATGCAGCATTAATTGCAGCTTTTTCGAAATCTGTTATAATACATTTTGGTGAAACATCGAAACCGAAACCATCACAAATTGATATTAGGTCTTCGAATAAACGTTCGTAACAACATTGTTGTTTACTGGTCATTAAAACATATACTAATGGCAAAATTCTAGAATTATTTCCACCAACAGGTGCATGTATAGTGTACATTTGTAAAAATATACTTGGCACAGTTTTAAATGTACCATCCATAACCCAATAATTGGCATTGACAAGTTTTGATATTTCATCTTTAGTAGAAAAAATATATATTTTGTGACTCTCAATAGTACTTTCTTTTAGTAAAAATGTTTGACCATTAAAAGACTTACATAAGTTAAGAGGAATATCTATTTGTGAAAGACTTGTTGGTTCTGGTGGTTTCTGATGTTTTCTACACCGTGAAATAATTTTTCGCGTTGCTTCAACTGATGGCATGTATGGCTGAGAATTGACGGGGATGCGACTCGTTGCTTCCTGTATTATTTGCGAAGGTTTATCTCTCGAAGACAGAGCTTTTGAAACAATATATTTTATGTTTTTCTTTACCAACAATCGGCATGGGTCAGGCCCATGGTTGTGATTTAAAAAAGAATTATCTTTAACAATATGATTACCATCAACAAGAATTGTTACTGCTCTTGCATTACAATATTCATTATTACTATTATGCCGTTTAGTATGTTTCCTCTTTTCACATTCCCAATAATATTTATTGTTACGGTTTTTGTTTTTAATCATGATAAAATTGTCAATTAATAATTTTGTACCAAAAATTTCAATTTTATATTCCATAATTATTTAATGCAAATACATAAATTAAATTAAACAACGACACAAAAATGAATGCAAAGACGCGGCGTGGTTACGAATCAACTGAAACAGTATTTATGAACATGCAATAGCAATACCCACTGTAGATTACAGGCTATAGGTATTAGGTATCGTTAAATTTCGATAAGTTATCGATAACATTATTACAACAAAAGACAACACTACGTTATCGAATTGAAAATGTATAGCTTATACTTAATTTATTTTAGTGTCGGCTTTTCGTAGTGTCGGCCTTTTGACCTTGTCGGCTAAAATAGTTTCAGCTATCTGACTGTCGGCCTATATAGCCGTCGGCCGTTTGGATTCGGCCGGATGTCGGTATACGCGGCAACCACTCGACCGAAGGGGTTCGGCACTGCAGACGAAAGCTTTTCTTCGGTCTTACTTAGACCTTAGCACCAAAGACGACTGACCAGGGTGGACTCAATTTGGTGGAAAAGATAATCCACCAGTGTCCAAGTGGCAAGTGTCTTCAAAAGAATTGATGTCCCTATTCGTTCCAATGTCGGCCGCATCGCCATATCTGCACCGTCGACCGTCACGTTACCAAAAGTGTTCCATAATGTAGATTTGCAATGCAAATCAATAAATAAAAGACCGAAAAAATCGGGAGTCGTATTCCCATTGTGTAATGAACTAATAAATAAACCTAATAATTTTATTCGTTTTATGTTTCAAATAGTATTAAAACACCAAATATCCATGGTAACTGCCGTCGCGTTGCTCTTTTTTTATTCGTTGGAAAAATACATCTTATAAGATCTATGATTGACAATTAGTTATAAATTACCAAGGATAAATTAAAATACTAGATTTAGATAGTGGTTTCTCAATATTGAGCATGTTTGTTGCACAGCATTTGCGACAATTTCTCGCTGTACGGATATAGTGTGTGGCGTGGGCCACAGCCTAACACAACAGCAACAGCTAAATAAACACTAGGCAATATTATATTAACACAACAATCACACACAATAAAAAAAACCATAATATAGGGTATGATTCACCAAGGATGCTCACTCACGTTTAAGGTTTAGAGTTGATCGATGGATATTTAATTTTATAATGATGTTTTTTTTTGTATCTGTATACACGTCATAGGTTGTAGAAAAAAAAGTTTTATCTTCAAATTTGAGGGTGGCTTCTGATACAAAATTAGTACTTTGAAAAAATAAATCAAAAATTCCACAAAAAAAAAACAAAAATAGATCAACATATAGCCTCCACAATATCTTCTAAACCTAGCTATTACCCTCAGTATACAAAGTTAAATAACTCAATGACTACTCATCTGAATTTCGATTTGGATACATAGCCATTTTCAAAAAAATCATATAAATAACAAATTACGAAAACAGTTTTCAATTCCTATTTGAAAAATGAAATAAAAATCTAAATATTTAAAAAGGTGGGCAAGTGGGTGTCGCTCTGCTGTACAGTAGGTTACAAGTGGGTCACTGTATAATGGATGGTATTAAATTTGAATTCAATGATATAATATCATTGTATAAGAAAAACGATTCTGAGCGGTGACGGTATGTCAGTGTATGTATAAGACATATTATATACTTATCTATGGTATTAAAAAAATTGACCTATAATGAATTCCAAATTAATCATATCATAGATAATAGATATATAATAGTACACTTTAGAAGTTTCAAGTACCCACGAATAATATTATTCAATCACAACAAAATAACTAAAATAGTTATTCTAGGTTTTTTAATATGTAATTTCGTCCAAATTTGAATTTAAAATGTCTGTAAAAAATAAATGTGTTCATATATTTTTTAGATTTTTTGGTTATAGTATGAACTATTTATGAGAACCTTTGTGTTGAATTTGTAATCCTTAGCTATAAAAACTGAACATTTTATAATTTATTAATTACAATGATTGATAATTTTCGAGATTTTGATAAATTTTGTCAAAATTTGATCTTTAAATGCTTATAAAAAAAAACTGTGCCTATGTATTTTTAATATTTATCAACTGCTATTGTAACAATATATCAGGAGCCTTGTATTAAATTTTTACACTTTTTGGCCCAACAGATAAAACTTTATTGATATTTATAGAAAAAAAAAACTAAAAAAAATTGAAAGCTGTAAATGTCCATAAACAGCTCAAAAAGAGTCAATATATTTTCAAAATTGTATGGTGTATAGAAAATGCTAATTTAAACATTCAGTGAAATTTTCATGTATCTACAGTTGTTCGTTTTTGGATTGCAACAAAATAAGGAAATCGCTACATGAGTAATCGAGTGAAAATCCAATGTTGTAAAAATTTGAATTTCAAACGCTCATAAAAATTTAATTTGACTGTCCGGTAGAGATTTTTTTATTGATAAAGGTAGATAATCTTATAAGAAATCTTGTGTTTCATTTTCAAATCTTAGATTATTTTTAGGAATTCTTAACTCAAAATAATTTGCTCATTTTCATGATTTTTCCATATTTCGTCAATTTTTGAACTTTAAATGCTTATAAAAAAAAATTGTGACTAAGGGTTTTTAATATTTTTCATCTGCCTTTGAAACAACATATTAGGAGCCTTCTATTAAATTTTCAAGCTTTCGCAACCAACAAATAAAATTTTATTGATATTTTTAGAAAAAAAACTAAAAAAAAATGGAAAATGAAAATGTCCCTAAACAGTTCAAAATAAATCAAAATATTTTGAAAATGTTATCGTGTATAGAAAATGCAAATATAAACAACCAGTGAAAATTTCATGTATATACGCTCATTTGTTTTAGAGTTACACCAATAACCAAAATCGATTTTTTGGAAAACCAATTTTGCGTAAAAATTCCCGTTTTTCCTTAATTTTTATGTTGTTTTTCCCGGCGCTTGTGAAAACTACTGGGAAATTTATACTTTTGACCCCCCAAAGTACCAACTAGATTCACTTTCCTATCAGAAAAGCTACTGATGAAGAAAATCCAAGCACTTTTACTGTCCTAAAACGTGATGACAGACACAAAAATATAAAAAAAAAACACACATCATTGTAAAACCAATACATTCATCGCTCCGCTCAGAATCTAAAATGTAAGGTCATTAAGAATACTTAAAAATTCCAAAAGTCAGAATTTGAATAACTTCGTGAAAAATTATAGGTGAGCACAGTGCATAGTGAATAATAATAATAATAATAATAGGTACTAATAATTTTTTTCCAAATAATATTTAACATAATAAGTTTGCTAAGTTGATTTATCTCCTTAAGCAGCAATCGAATCACCCTAATTAATAAAAATAATAAAACCATGTAATTTTATTTTTCCAGGCTTACTATTTTATTTTATCTATGGTTAAGTCTGGTCTCGTGAGTGGTATGGACTAAGTGTATGGGTTTTTGAATTTATAATTTGTATGAGTTTTTACAAGATGTGTCGAGGATTTGGGTTAATCAAAGTGTAAAGCCTTGCTTAACTGTACATGCACCGAATATCTGAATATCTATAGAAGATGTACTACCTACTTCAAGATTTATGCATGTGAAAAATAAGTTTAAAATAGGTACATATAGTAAATAAGTAGTGTGTATTTTTAACTTTTATTATCACAAAAATATATAAAATAAAAGAGAAAGTTACAAAGTAGTTCCAATTGTTCAATGCAAATTGAAAATGCATACAATATTCTAATCAATGCGTTTTATCATTATTAATATGCTTTTTACATATTATATTATTATACAATATTTAACAAAACTACCAATAATTGTAAAGCGTTTGTTTGTACATCTTAAAATAATCATAGCTCGCTTTAAAATTAAAATATAATAAAAAGCCTATATGAGATGTCCTAAATAATAATCTATTACATAAAACTATAACCTTTACATTTTATAAGAGGTTATTTCAATCTAATTGTAGAAATTATAAATGATTATAATTATTATTGTGAACGTAAAAATATGTGCTATGTTGAGCATGGGTCAGAGAGAGAGAAAACTAAAAGTGCGCTGACATTGCAGCATTTAATCTTAAACCTGCAGAAAAAAAATATAATGGACAGTAGTGAAGCTAAATTGCCTATCCAAGACGCCGTATAACCAAAATATTTTTTCATTGTATATTGTTTTTAAAATTTAAACGAGAAACCAGAAATGAGCGTACCTTTGTCAAAACAATATATAGGTTGTTGATATTTGTGGTTTATGGTGATGCACTGCTAGTGCGGTTTTATATAATACATTATACACAGGTAAGCTTGAACGATAGACGATCGACAAATTTCATACCAATAACATATACTGTATTATTAATCGATTTGGAAAAAGCCCGAAATACCTGTGCTGGAGTTGAACGGGAAACGAGGATGGTTTCCTATATTTATGTTGAATTTTGTGTGGAGAGATGATAAATCGTCGTTCAACTCAAATAACCATTCAGCGTAGGTCGCCGAGACCAAAAATCGTCAAAACTGCAGCAGGTGTTTTCTTACTTACGTCTCTTTTCACCTCTCATTTTTTTCACAGCATAGTTTTTTTCAAGGTTTTATCAATAACCATACTTTGGGAAACATTACCTCTTTAAAATGCAATCTGTATCTGATCCAATCTACTGCAGTGGTGGGTGATATGTAAAACTTTTTGCTGTTTTTTACTTCACTGAAAAGTATTTTCCGATAAAACAATAAGAACACTATACCTACATATAGCTGTGTAAAGCCTGCAATAAAGGCTCTAGCAGTCTAGCTGCAGTGCCATTCTGATAAGAATTTCGATTGCGTAGGGGATACCCGTTGATCCCCTCACTGGCTGCACACGGTATATAATTTGAGACAGACAGACAAATTCTTCCATTTAAAAAAATATAATAAGGTTACAGGTCGTTATATATTCTATCCGCTACGTGCGGTTTCGAGAGAGAGATTTGTTTTTGTTTTTTTATATATCACTGTCATACGTTATGACTTATGGGTATAGATTTTTCTCAGAGTAGG